GTCATAGATCCTGAACCCCTTTATCCCTGATGTAAAGCCAATGAAAATCCCTTTTCCAGCTCTGGAATCAAATTTGGTTCTGTGGGTGCTGAGGGTGCTGGCAAAACAAAGGCAACCAAAAACTCTGAGGTAAGAAAGGTCTGGTGGTTTTTTGTGTATCTTTTCAAAGGGTGTGAGGTTGTTTAGGACAGGAGTTGGTACTCTGTTGATTAAGTGCACAGCATGTTTCACACAATCTCCCCAGAAACCAGGTGGAAGGTTGGCTTGGAATTTTAGGGCTCTGGCAACAGAAAGTATATGCTGGTGTTTCCTTTCTACTTTACTGTTTTGTTCAGGAGTTTCAACACATGATTGTTCATGGAAAATGCCTGTGTTTTGAAAAAAATCATTCATCCTGAACTCTTTGCCTTGATCACTCCTAATTCTCTTAACAGGAGTATCAAATTATCTCTCAATGTAATGACAAAACTCCTGTAGTTTAGGTCTGGCCTTAGACTTGGTTTGTAAAAGGATAATCCATGTCATCCTAGAGAAGTCATCAACAATAGTAAAAAAATATCGATATCCATCATAGCTAGGAACAGGGTTTGGCCCCCAAATATCAGTATGTATTAACTGAAAAGGATTCTTAGTTACAGATGAACTGGAAGGAAATGGCAGTCTCTTCTGCCTGGCAAAATGGCATACATCACAGGGTATAGAACTGTATGTTTCTATGGATGTACATAGTTCCTTCAAAAGGGGTATTTTGGAATGGGAGACATGCCCTAATCTATGGTGCCAAAGGTCAAAAGGTACACTACTAGTTGCAGTAGTGTGTTTAGGTATAGTAGAGTTGTCTATGTTGTCTAATAGGTAGAGGCCATGGGACAGCTTAGCAGAACCAGTCATCCTCCTCAGCTGCATGTCCTGAATCAAACACACATCTGAAAATAAAGTTAAGCAAAGTGATTTGTTCTTGCTCAACTTGCTGACAGATACTAAGTTGAACTTAAACTGAGGAACATATAAGGCTTCCTCAAGCACCAAGTCTGGGAGACATCTCACAGTTCCTGAGTGACTAGCTTCTACTCTTTGACCAGTGGGAAGAGTGATGAACACCCCACTTATTTGTTTGTGGTTTTGAAGTAGTGCAAGGGAGCAAACAATGTGGTCTGATGCTCCAGTGTCCAGGATCCACAATTGGTTGTATGGACCCTTGTTTTGTGCATTGAAAACATATTTACCTGAGGTTTCTACTTTACTGGTGGTGAAGGCTGCAGCTGAGAAGCTTGGTCCAGGGGAGCTTTGAGCATTCTGACTCATCATCTGGATAAACTTCTCATACTCAGCTTTAGTGAGCTTAACCTCTTGTTGGCCTTTGTCTCCAATCACAATGGTTGCTGCATTGACTTGAGGTCTCCCTCTTCCTCTTCCAGTTCCAGAGGGATAGCCATTCTTATGGTAGCACTTGTCTTCTGTGTGCCCAAGTTTCTTGCAGTGGGTGCACTCAACTGGTCTTCCAGTGGCAGTCACACCCCTAGGAGTCATGCCAGTTGGCCATCCATGTTTGTGAAAACAAACATCTTTAGTGTGTCCTAGTGCTTTACAGTAAGTGCAATAAGGTCTAGTTCTTTTGATTGGTGGTATGTTGCTGTGGGAAGCAAAAGCAGTGCTTTCTGCAGCAAGAGCCTTGGCCTGATGGCTTCCATATTGTTGTCTCTCATGTTGCAGCATTCTCTGGAACACCCTATCAATGGAGGACAGGGTGTCCTGAAACAAGACCTGTGACCTAACAGTACTGTAGTTCTCATTGAGTCCCCTGAGGAACTGAATGACATAGCCAGTATCCCTGTAACCCATGACCTATCTCATGGCTCTACAAGTGGAGTGACTAGTGGGAGTACAGTAACAGGGAGCTAAAGGCTGGTAGTTATCCAGTTCATCCCTCATAGTAATCATCTCACCATAGTACTCAGTTAAGGTTTGGTTACCTTGTTTCATGGTGGCTAGGGCCTCTATCAGCTCTACTATTCTCACCATGTCACCTTGTCCATATCGAGCCCTTGAGCTTCTCCAGGCTTCTGCAGCTGTCTTGAAAGACATGATTGTCTTCCTGATCCTAGGCTCAACTGCTTGCTGGATCCAAGACAGGACCATGATGTTGTTCCTGTTCCATGACCAGGCTTGAGGACTGTCTGCTGGTGGTTCAGCCAGAGTGCCATTGATGAACCCAGTCTTGTTCTTGGCTCCAAGTGCATTATACATCGCCTTGTTCCAATCATTGTAATTGGTTGTGGTGAGTTTCTCCGCGACCAGTAGTTGCCCTGGTTGTTCAGAGCCATGTAGATGGTGTTGGCTGCAGCATTTCCTCCATCAGTACTCATGTTCACATCAGCCATGGTTGTGGCGGTGCCTAGGGTTCAAGAGAACCAGGCTCTGATACCATAACAACGCTTTTTTGTTGGAAACCCTAAAAACTTGGCTTGTTTCATTGATCTTTCAGCTTATATAGATGTTTGCAGTAGTACAAGTGGGTTTGCATAAGTGTAGAAGAAGAGAAGTTCAGTGACCAAATATGAAATTGTCTATCCGCTCTTGTTTCTCCCTAAAACGATGTCGCTCCAGGTCCAGCTTGGTTTCGCTTGACTTAGTGGAACGCTGTCGTCGAGGCGTTGGATTCCGTTCGTTGTCGAAGCGGCGTCGTAGTGACTTCGTGGCGGAAAGCCGTCGTCTGGAAAGCGGGATTGAGAAGAATTCAAATTCTTCTCTAATAGGCATTTCCGTTCGATGTTGGTACTCTAGTAGATGCTAGTCTTGCGATGAGAAAGTTATTCAATCTTCCTCACGAGGATGGGCTTGAACAGGTCGAGCAGGTGATTATTGATAAGGCTATGGCTATGCATCAGAGGAAAGTCATACATTCCATAAACAAATTGGAGATAGAGCTACATCAGTTAGGACCTATTGATCTTCCAGTAATAGGGTCACGCAGGAAAAAGGTAAGGGACGTGGGCAGCAATTCAATTAGTAAGTAATAGATTCTTCTATTATTGTGTGGAATGTTAGAGGACTTGGGGATCAGGATAAGAGGGCTAGAATCGAGCGAATTTTTGGGAGGAACAAACCTAATATAGTTGGGCTTGTGGAAACCAAATGGGAGCTATGTTTAGGGGAATTAATTTCGAATATCAGCGGCAGTAGAAAGAGTGGTTGGGAGGTTGAGGATGTTGTGGGTAACTCTAGAGGTATTGCAGTTTTATGGGATAAGGCGTTTGTTCGTGCTCTTGATACCAGGGTTGGGTCCTTTAATCTCAGCATTGACTTCTAAGAGGTCTCTTCGAATAGAATGTGGTCATTGGCTTTCTTTTATGGACCTCAGGATAGGGAGGAGAAGATCCAGTTCATTCACGAAATCTCTGAGCTCTGCTAGTCCGTCGTTCTTCCTCTATGTATTGCTGGTGATTTTAGTTGGTTCGCAGACATAGTGATTACCGGGGGACCAGACACGGTGAATTTGATGGATGAGTTTAATGAATGTATCAACAACAGTTCTTTACTTGAGCTTCCTCTTGGGGCAGTATCTTCACCTAGTGTAGAGGGGATGGTTCTGACTCTTTTCCAGCATTGATAGAGTGTTCGTTAATTTGGGTTTTGATTGTCTATTCCCCGATTGTAGTTTGATGGCTTTAGAACAGGTTGAATCGGATCATATCCCTTTGCTCATTAAGTGGGGTGGGACTAGGAGGATCAAGAGGCCATGGAAATTTGAAAATATGTGGCTTAAAGATGAGAGTTTTTTCACTACTCTTGATGGCTGGTTCCGTGTTCCTTAAAGCGGGCATGGGTGTGCTTTCTTGTGGTCTAAGCGATTGCAAGATCTGAAGATGAAGATCAAAGATTGGAATAAGAATGTTTTTGGCAACATCAACATCCATATTGGTGACCTTCTTGCTAAAATAAGCCAGCTCGACTAGGTGGAGGAATCTCGCATCCTAACAGTATCGGAACAGGGAGACAGAAACGAGGCCAAGGTTAACCTTAGCAAGTTGCTTCACTTTTAAGAAATCTCACTGAGACAAATGTCCAGGTTGTTGTGGCTTAAAGGCGGGGACATCAACACTATTTATTTCACAGAATGGCTAACTACAAGAGAAAGCTTAATTTGATTGATTGTATTAAGATCAACAATGAGAGGTTTGAAGGGATGAGTTGGCAGGAGGAGTTGTGGCTTATTACACTAATGTGTTCAAAGAGTCAATCATGAGGACGAAGTTCTCTTGCTAGTATGTTGTGATTAAATTATGTGATGGTAACGATTCTAAACTTACTCAAAGGTTCTTTGGGGAGGAGATTTGGGTTGCCCTAACTGACTGTGATGGCAGTAAGGCCCCTGGTCCTGATGGGTTTTCGTGGGAGTGTTATAAGAGATGTTGGTCGTTGATTCATGGGGAGATTGTCAATGTTATCGTCGAGTTCCATGATACTGGCTATCTTCCTAAATGTGTAACTCATTCACTCATTCATTTGTCTGGTTCCAAAAAACGACGTGGTTGAAGATATCAGAGATGTTAGGCCAATCAGTTTGATGGGGAGTATCAACAAGTTAATTAGCAAAATTTTGGCTTGAAGACTTGGCGGGATGCTTCTTAAGCTTGTTACTTTCAATCAACATGCCTTAGTTAAGGGAAGACAGATTGCGGAAGTTGGTCTTATTGCTTTCGAACTTCTTGAAAGTCACAAGAAAAGCAAGGAGTAGGGTCTTATTTTCAAGTTGGATCTTGAGAAAGCTTTCGATAAGGTTAGTTGGGATTGTCTTTTCGATTCTTTTAGTGACCTCAAGTTCTTCTGATTAAGAGAGAAACTTGAGTACTTTTGAATCGGTAAGTATTAGATTCTCAATCTATACTATATATATATATATATATATATATATATATATTCAATTACTCATATTTCTTATTCGCAATTGGTCATGCAATACAACTTTGTACTTATAGATACATACCAAGAGAAGGAATATGCTTACAACCAGTCGTCTCAATCAATTGGTGTACATACAATTCAACTCGTGGTTGATGTCCAAGAAGAAGAAGATAAAGGAAAAGAAGAACATTGATATTCTCTTAAGTACTAATATAATTGAAGCACAAGGCTTCCTATTTGAGTTAGTGGATGACCATGCTATGTATGTGTACGTGGATGATAATAAGGAAGAACATTGTGCACCCTCGAGTACTATTACAGATGCAATGGCAGGTGAACACAGTGAGCTTCGCAGGAGTATAGGAGTGAGAGAGCTCCATGATGAAGAACTCGAGTCTGCAGAGGAGGAGGAGCAGGATGGTAAGGGAATTGCTTTTGAGGATGATGAAGATGAAGTGGTGGCTGGACGGACCTACTTGGATGATGAAGAATGAAACTTTTCCTATGAACTTATTGACTATTGTTTAGTATTTTGACATTTTTATGAACTTATGATTCTAGGTAATTGTCACTATTTGCTTGTTATTTGTTATGTTAGCTGTTTACTGTTGAGAACTAAGTGTTTCTAATTTTATATGAACTTGGATCATATGAAGTATTCTAAAAAATATGAAATATTTGAGAATTTTTTCATTTATGCTATGAACGCATAGGGGCGCCTAGGCTACGTTTAATTGATCAAGGAGCAAGTCAGTCGAACGCTCGCCTTAATCCTAGGGATCACTTGGCTATGGGATTTTGCACAATTCTGTGTTTGGCAATGGACCAGAGATTTAATCCAATTTAGCCTACTTACACCTTTATCCCTCCATTCTTCTTCTTCTTCTTCTTCTTCTTCTTCTTCTTCTTCTTCATTCCTTCTTCGTCTATCTTCACTGCTGGGATCCAGGATCTTCAGAGATACGGGTGTGGCTGGACAGGTTGTTGCTTTTCGGATTGCTTGTTCTATTGCTGAGTGGTTGGGTGCTGCAAACGAGGTCGATATGGATTAATCAAACTAGTTTCTGGTTGCGTGTGGTTAAGCTTCGCCTGCTACCTAGAGATGTTGCCCCGTCTGTTTTGCCTACTGTTGCGGATGAGTTGGAGGAGATTGATGAAGACGGTGTTGCGGACTCAGTGGCTTCTTGAGCCTCCTCTGACATGGCCCGCCTCTCGACTCGTTGGTATGTGTTCTTGAGGGGTGTTCTGTTGCTGCATTTGGTCTGCCTGCTGCTGCTCTGCTGTTTCGCTGCTTCGTCCTCCTTTTTTAGCTGTGTCACTTGCTTTGTTCCTATTTCTCTACGTGTAGTTGCCTTTACAGACGGTTTTGCCTTTTGTTTTGATCTTTTCCCTTGGCTTTAGAGGGGTTTTGTGTGGCCTTCTCTCTTTCCTTGGTTTGTTTCTTTGATACTCTTTACTCTATTTTAATTTAATTTATTTTACCATTATCAAAAAAAGAAATTGAGAGCTCGAGAGACCCAGTGATAGCTGCAATGGGGAAAAGAGGAGCACATGACACCAAAACTCCATCACCGACACCAAATCACATGCCCAGAACATCTGCGGGATTGGGAAAGAGAGAAGCATCGGCCACCAGAAACCCAACATCACTCGATAGCCCTTTGTTTGCTTGGACGAAGAAGAGAGGAAGTCAAACCCGCGGTCGGCCATATCCCGCACCTTCGCTTCTTTCCTATGTCTGCCGCTAATCAACAGATCCAGATGAAGCCGGTGAAAAGTGTTGAACCTGCCGCTAATCAACAGATCCAGATGAAGTCGGTGAAAAGCCATGAATCTGCTTAAATCGCTGCTCAATCCTAGCTTCAACCGTCACCAATCCACAAGTCTAATTTGAGACGAGATTGGAAGCCCGAGCTGGAGGCGGCGAGATTGAGAAGCCCAGTGGACCAGCGAGGTAAGTCGTGGATGGAGGAAGAGTAGATGGTGGAGGAGGAAGAAGGAAGGTTGCTTGTGCAATAGAGGAGGATGGAATAAGGAAACCGGCTAGGTGTAAGGACGGGAAAAAATAAACAAAAACGAGAGATTTTGAAATAGCTGATCCCCATCAGCTATTTTAGAAACCCACGTTTGAGGTTTTTCAAAATTACTAATTGTAATATTCCGCATCTCTTCCAAACGCATAATTCTTTAAAATCCTGCAAAATGAGAGATTTTAATTAAAATCCATCACTAAAAACCCTCATCCAAACACCCCCTAGTGCCTTTTTGAACCTTATTCTTTGTACATATATCTTAATTATTGTTGTTCACTTATCTATGTTTATTGCTCTTTCTCATATTCATATCAGTGTTCATGTGAATTGATTGTAACAAGGAGATTTATGTAATTTCATGAAAACCTTCGACAATACACAATTTTTTAGTTAGCATGTGCACAGGGTATCAATACATTATGATTCGTTAGTTGCCCATGTGTTACCCTAATCTATCTCCAAATGATAGGTCCACAAGAAGATGGTAGGTATTGGATTATAAGGAGTTCACAAATTAGTGTAAATACCTTAAATCGCTTGTATGTATTGTGACCAACCTAATACATCTTTGGAACTCTAGGGGAGCTTTGTCTATACGCCTCTCTACTACTTTCTCTTTCATTTTTACCTTTGCTTTACTAGTTTGGACTCTTTATTTTTTTCAAATTTTTTAGGCTAATACCAGTACAACACCAAAGCTATCAACACCATGCAACTAGTGTCCTATTTTATTCAATATTCCAATCTTATTATGACGTATCAGACTTTGTAACAATACTGAAGATTTTCGTTGACTTTGTAACAAAGTGGTGTTGACTTTTGTTAACGTGGAAAAAAACGTGACAGTCCACATCATTGCACATATAATTATTTTTCAATTCAAAATTAAATTAATTAAAAAATAAAAATTGGTGAAAAAAGCATCACTTGCATCTTCAGCTTTACCCCCTACCCATCTCCTTTTCTTCTTCACCTCCGTCTTGAGTTTTTGTCTCTTGGAATTGCATGTCGAGGAAGGAACCACAAGGTACTCTGGCTTGATGTCAGTCTGATCCTTCTTCTCTGACTTCGCTTTCGTCATCATTGGAACTAGGGGTGGCAAATGGATTGGATTGGTGGATTGATGGATTGGATTGGTGGATCCATGGATCAAATGGATTGGATCTAATGGATTGGTGGATTCATGGATTGGATCAAGTGGATTGGTGGATTATCCATGAATCCAAATGACATCCTCAACTAAGGACCAATATGTAAAATGTAAAAAGTTTAGGTACTAAAATGTCATAATGAAAAATTTTAGGTACCAAAACGTAATTTTCCAATGATATTTTTCGTATAAAAAATAAATTTTAGGTACCAAAATGTAAAAAATAAAAATTATAGGTACTAAACCGTAATTTGCCAATGATCCATGGATCCAATCCATGAATCCACCAATCCAGTTGGATTTGAATTAAATGGATTGGATTTAAATGGATTGGATTAGGTGGATATTTTTAATGGATTGATGGATTGGATTGGTGGATTGGATTGAAATTGCCACCTCTAATTGGAACAAAGAGGTTTTCAAGATATGAGAATCTTGATCTATCGTAAACCAGTCAAGAGAGTGAGTGAGTTTCTTAGATTTTTTGTTGTTTTGAGAGAGAAAGAGATTTTGAGCTTTTCGTCCGACAAGCAGGTGATCTGGTCTTCTAGCGAATTTTGGGCTCTCCAACCTTGTGTGATGAGACGAAAGCAGTGTAATCACGAACATTAGAGGGACAAAGGGTAGATAGCTCCCAAGTGGCTTCTCGAGCTTAAGATCTCAGCGAAATCAGTTACAGGATGGTGCTGCTGGAGAGGGTCAAAGGGATTCAACAGAGCTCTTTGATTCGGAGAATTTGGAGGCGAAATGGGTGATATTGGAGTCAAAGTTATCATTGTTGGTGAATTTGGTGATGTTGTCGGCGCTGGAGGTTTCCGATTGAGGCAGGTTCGAGAATACATTGTTTCCGATTGCACGAGTGGCGAGGACGTGAAAAATGTCAGGGATTTTCTTCTATCTATGCGCGGGAGCTGAAACCCAAAAACACAAAATGCTATAAGAAGAAATGCATATGTATGGGTAATTTGCTCGATGAGCCTTTCCATTGAATTAGAGAACTAAATATATACAGAGTTGCTAATTACTATTTACTAAAGGTAACTCTTAACTAAAAACTAATTTAGCCATTTACAAAGAGACACTAGATTCTCGACTATGTGGATTGTCGATTGATTATCACAATACACCTTAACATATTATGAAAGTTGAACACCAAAGTCATTAAGCAATCTTACCAACCTTTCAACTTCACAACTTAAACTGGCCAATGGTTTGTATTCCGCTTTTGATGAAGACCTTGACACAGTCTTCTGTTTCTTACTCTTCCAAGTAAGAATGCTAGAGCCAAGAAAGGTACAGTATCCAGTGATGGATCTTGTGGTACCTGGTTATGTAGCCAATCTGAATCACTATACCCTATTAATTCCATTGTTGCATTTAAAGAATACAACAATCCATATCCTGGAGAACCCTTCAAATACCTCAAGACCCTATATAGAGCCCTCAGGTGCAATCTAGTGGGATTGTCCTGGTATTAACAGAGTTGTTGAACAACAAAAGCAATATACTATTTTGATTTGGTCAGGTACTACAGTTGACCTACAAAATGCTTATACAAATTAACAACCTCCAAAGGGTTTCCTCCATCTGATGACATAGATTCTTTGACAAAGATATGTGTGGCTGCAGGTTTACGGTTCTCAAATCCTGACTCCTTCGAGAGATGCAGACAATACTTCCTTTGTGAGACTGTAATTCCTTTGACACCTCTCACGAAATCCAAGCCAAGTAAGTACTTCAATTCTCCCAAATCCTTCTTTTTAAATTCACCTTGCAGCATTCCCTTTACTTTAACTATGGCATCCAAACTCACACTTCCAATCATGATGTCAACCACATACATAATCAACATAACTAATGCATCAAGAACTTGTGCAGTTAATATAGAATAGTCTAAAGATGTTTGTTTAAATCCATACTTTAACAAACTTTCAGTCAATTTAGTGTACCACTGTTTGCTTGCTTGTTTTAATTCATAGAGGAACTTATTAAGTCTCCATTCAAGAACATATTGCTCACATCTATTTGGTGAAAATGCCAACTCTAAACAGCTGCAACTGCAAGCAAAGTTTTTACAGAACTAAGCTTAGCTATTGGTGAGAATGTATCACAGTAGTCTATGCCATTAACTTGGGTAAAACTCTTTGCCACTATCCTTGCTTTGTGCCTCTCAATTGTACCATCCGAGAACAGCTTCAATTTGTGAACACATGTATTACCAATGGCCTTCATCCCAACTGGTAAATCTATGATTTTCCAAGTTCCATTATCTATCTAGGCCTTCAACTCTTCTTGCATTGCCTTATGCCAGTTGGGATCAAGAGCTGCTTCTTGATAAGAAGTTGTCTCTAGGTGAGATGTGCTATTGATGAAGTGTTGATATTTGGGCAATAAATGTGTATAAGATAAAGCTTTATGAATGGGATATTGGATATTATAATCTTCATGCCAGTTATGTGGTCTAATGGTTATGGTTGACTTCCTTAACTGAACATGATATGATTGGTTGGATTTAGAGGTACTTGGATGGTGAGTTGCAGAAAATGGAGATGATGTAGAAGGAGAATGATTGTCCTGAGGATCAGCATGAGGAGAAAAAGGAGAAGGAGAAGGAGGAATTGGAGAATGTAGTGGTGATGTCCCCCCCCCCCCCCCCCCCCCCCCCCAGAGACTGATGATCATCAGAGATAGTGTTACCATCAGTAGAGGGTGTTGAAAACTTGCCAAACATGAGGGTGGTGAATGAAACAATAGCATCTTCAACTTCTCCATTTGATCATTAGTCAGCTGCAAACTTGCCAAACTTGAGGGAGCTTCATATCCCCTTGTTGGATTAGACAAACCATCCAACCCAACACTCGCAACATCACTACTAGTCTCAACTAATCCTGCAAAATTTGAACTACCACTCTTAAGCTTGATGCACTCATAAACAATGTGAAATTCCTTACAGTATCTACAATACTTCTTCCCATCTTTGTAATCTCTGGAGTTGGTTTGTGGATGTTGTCCAGAGGCTGCTGTTAGAGAAACAGATTCAACACCAGTCACCTTTTTCACACCTTTCATCCGACGTTCTAGCTGTAGGATTTGCTTAAAAACAACGTCAATGGAAGGCAGGATAGGGTTCATCAGAACCTGTGTTCTAGTTGACGGGTAGATTGGGTTTAACCCTTGCATAAAATTAATCACAAAATAATTGCCCTGGTATCTCTTTACGGTTTCATAAGGACCATTTCAAGGAGATGCTGGAATAGGTCTGCAATTCTTAAGCTCTTCCCACAGAACGGTAACAACAGTGAAATATTGATTCATTGACTGTTCCTCTTGGACACACTTAGCCAGCTGCACTTGCAAATAAAAAACCCTAATATTTTGTTCTTGACTAAATCTAATTGTGAGATTATCTCACACGACCTTAGCACTTTCCAATCTCATCACACTATTAGCAATATCTTTAACAAGAGAATTGTAAATCCAACAACGATGGTCCATTACAACGAAGCCAAGACTGATAGGTAGGATATGTTACCTTTAGTTGTGGAATGGTACCATTGATGAAACCCATTTTGTTCTTGGTACCGAGAGCTACAAGCATCACTTGGCTCCATATGTGGTAATTTCCGTTGACAAGCTTCACTAAAACGATGGTGGAAAGTGCTCCATCTTGTGGTGGAAGGTAGTACGGATTAAGGTATGGATCTTCGTAAGCAATGACCTTGACAGACCCTGATTTGGATGAATCATCCTTGTCGGAATCTTCTGTTGAGCCATACATGTTTCAAAGAAAAGAAGTTAGATGATGGAAGGAAGAGTAGAAGAAATGGAAAGGCAGAGGGACGAAACCCTAGCAGAGTAGAGAGCAACCAGACTCTTATACCATAAGAAGAAATGCACAGATCTAGGGAATTGGCTTGATGAGCCTTTCTTGTGAATCAGAGAACTAAATATATACAGAGTTGTTAAATACTGTTTACTAACGGCTAACTCTAACTAACAATTAATCTAGCCATTTACAAAGAGACACGTATAACTATACAGTAAAACATGAAACTCTATTCTAACGAGTAAGTAAAACACCGCACTTCGCTTAGACGTTGTCGTTTGGCTCTACTTCTTTCTTTCTTTCTTTCTTCTTCTTCTGGATTGAAGCAGAGCTTCCTTCAACCATTGCAGCAACGCAGCTAGTTTAATCATTGTCAACCTCCTTCCTTGTTACGCTAGAAGGGAAGTTGGAGGATTGGGTACCATTTGTATCTTGAATCTGTTGTCCGTTCAGTGCCCAATAATCATTGAATCCGCTCTCGCCACCACAATTGTCAACTCCTCTCCGTTGCCTAGCTGAGGATGAAGATAAGGATTTAGTAGTGGGGCAAGGGAAGAGGGGCGACGTAGATGGTGGAGTTTATTATTTATTTTAGATTGTTGTTTAATAAATAAAAAATAGTCTTAAAATTCCAAATCATGTCACATCAGCACCGACTATATTTTATATTAATACTAACATAATCAGTTGAAGCAAAGGATATGAATGAAATAGTAAACAAAATAGGACACAACCTAAAACAATATCATCACTCGTAGTTGGAATTTGGAAGACCACGTGGGAATCCAATTTCGTTAATTTGAACCCTATATTTAGCGGATCAGATTGTTAGTGTTGTGGTATATGATCCACGATTGAACATCTTTCAATAACTCGAGTTATTGGGACCAACTGATTTATGATACGGTATCAGAGTTGGTTTGACCAAGTGATACCCTCAATTATACTGATGGATTTGTTCTGAGTGCCTGTCTCAATAGCAGTGGTAGGTGGGGATCGTTTGAGATTGTTCAAGCAAAGATATGGGGACTTTGATGATGTCGGAGCTCCGAGGTGCACTTAATGGATTAAATAAGCTTGGAATATCGAAGTATAGAGGGACTGAGGGAGGAACTCCAAATGGACTCAGTAGTTGTGGTTACTCTTTTTGGCCAAACCAGCAGATGATGATTAGAGGATTGCACTCAATCCCTAATGGCACTTTGCAAACTTTCGATCCCAAAACTAGTGATTGGATTAACTATGCTGTAACGGGATTATGAAGTCGAAAATAATTACTATAACGAGTTAGAAAGCCCCTTTGCATCTACATGAAAGATTGATTCAACCACATTCTTTTTCATCCTATCACTCCACCTACATTTCTATGGTGAGGGTTAAATCACCAATCTCATTTAGGACACCGATTCACCGACCACGACGATTTCATTATCGTTGGATTTTGGAGAAAAAAGGTGAGCAGCTGATGGTTTGGCCTCTCTTTCCGAGGGACAAATACAAACAAACATTGGCGGATCCAGGGGAGGCCACCCCGGTCACGGTCCAGTCCTCCTCTGGATCCGGAGCTAGTATAGTCATTATGAGTTATCGATTTTAGTCATTTTACCTAATGTTATTTTATAATAAGATTGTGTGTAATTAGAAAAATGTGTCAGATGTACAATTTCAAATCATAACTCTAAATTTAGTCTGGAAATTATAGCTCCAATGATTCTCTTCTAAAGAAAAACAAATAATTAAACCCTAAAGTCTAAAAGTCTAAAACGTAAAAGACTAAAATAAATATGAGGTTTGCTCCCTTGAAAAATTACTTGAGCAACTGATAAAAATAGGGATTGACACATAATACAAATTGATTGGTCGTTTGATTTGTCTAGTGTTGAAATTGTCCGTTTCAATAGCTACTATAGAGAGAATCTTTTCAACAGTGAAACATGTGACAAATTATTTGCTTAACAAAATTAGCGTTGAATTTCTCGCCGATTGGTTAATTTTTTTATCTGAAAGAGAGTATGTTATTGGTATGTACGTAAACTCCATTATTGATGAATTCATTATATCAAAATTTAAAAGATCGACGAGTGCAATTGATATTATAAAAAAAAATTATAATTTATTTTTACGATATCTAATTTTTTAATGAAATCCAACGCAGTACAATCTACTGGGTTCTGAATCCGCCGCTACAAATAAAATAATTAGAAATGAACAAAAACAGGCTGGAATAGTGGCATTTGCTCTCCTTTTTCAGTTTGGACTGTTTTGTGTGCCCGCGGAGAAGACTTCTGTCCACTCTCCACTAGACACCTTAGTGTTATGTTTGGGAACCATGACGTGACGTGGCTGACCCGCATAGGATGACATAATTTAAGAAAATCAGACGTACGTCAAGTAGAGGACGTCTAGCTTGCGCCATATTCTAGATCTAGACGTCTTCCACGCGTTTAATCGGCGATCCATATTTGTAATTTCAATATTTCATACTTAAGAAGATGTGGTACTCCGGTGTAATTATTTAATTAACAGGTGTCATAATGAGATTGGCCGGGAGTACAACATTACAAATCCTACGTAGTACTCTGATGACGAACACTAATGTATCTAATAATTCCTCACGTTCACATATGAGTAAATGCCAAATTGTTTTGTTTACATTTGTTTCTCAAGTCTTGTTTGTTTCTCAGGGGTGGTTTGGTGAATAGGATTGAGGAAATGGATTCATTGAATTCGTAGATTTTGTAGAATGTTATGTTTTTTAACTTTTTGTATTGTGAATTTTTGTTTTAGAGATTTCAAATATCTAAAATCTACGGATATCAAATCTCTCATAATCAGAGAGATTTTATATCTTGATTCGTGAGAATTGTTTTCTCCTACTTTTTCTACTCCTTTAATTTATTTACCATATTAAATATATTTATCAATAAATTCTTAAATATTTCTCAAACTATCTATTTTTTTATTAAGGATAAACATGTTATTTAATATAAAAATAAAATTTATATTTTAATTGAATATTAACAATCACAGTTATCAAACAATAAACATTATAAAACCTGTTTTCAACTATTCGAAAAATTAGAATTTTGAGATTATTGACAATCTATAAATTTAAACTCTGTTCTTTCCCTACACCAAGATTCCATCCAAAAAGGATCCTGATTAAAGTGTTTGATCCAACGGTGGAGAAAGCCCCATCAATCGTGTGATCAATGAACCGTCACTGCACCAGCACCCATCGTTGATGGAACCAAAAAAAAGTCTCAACTCCCCCATCTGATCGTCACAAATGTGTCCACACGATACACACCAGATGCAAATTCCATCACGTGCTCTTTTTCTTACACACCTTCCTAATTCGGATATAAATTCAAAGCCGAGTGAGCTATTCCCAAACAAACACGGATTTAGCTCACTTGCTCTACACCAGTCGCTGTCCTATCATCCTTACTCCCTAGCTTCCCCTTCATTAAAAAAAAAAATCCTCCCTATATCAACAGCTAGATTTAAAGGAAAGACAATAGTAAATAAGCCCCAAAATGGTTCGAGCTGTTTTCTACGACGACAAGGGGCTGAAGAAAGGCGCGTGGAGCAAAGAAGAGGACGAGAAGTTGCGGGACTACATCCTCCGATACGGCCACTGGAACTGGCGCCAGCTCCCAAAGTTCGCCGGCTTGTCTAGGTGCGGAAAGAGCTGCAGGCTTCGCTGGATGAACTACCTTCGCCCTGACCTGAAGCACGGCAATTTCACCAAAGAAGAAGACGATCTCATCTTCCAACTCTACCAACAGCTCGGAACCAAGTAAAACAACATTCCCGTCGAACGACACCATAAAATCTACTTTTCCGTAAGTAATCTTTTTTTTTCTTTCTTTCTTTCTCCATGCTCCAGATGGTCAGCAATAGCTTCCAAGATGCCCGGAAGAACAGACAACGAGATTAAAAACTACTGGCACGCGCATCTCAAGAAGCGAGTAGGGTGGACAGCTGCTGCGGCGTCGGCGGCGCCGAAGAATGAGAACAGATCTTCGTCGTCTTCACTCGGCAGTCAAACCCGTGGAGAGATAGATGACATGGACGCCGAAGGTGCCACTTCATCTCCTGGGAACATGATGATGACAATCTCTCCTCCCATACTCGAGAGCTCCCTATTGTCGTCACCGGCTGCCTCCTCGTCCTGCGGCGCTGAATCGCAGCCGGTGAATGCCGCCGTCGAAAGTTGGGAAGATGGGATTTATAGTTATGATTACCAAAATTGTTATGAGACGATAATTAGTGGTTGCGGTGGTGGGGATTTCTGGAGCGAGCCATTTGTGGTGGATGATGGTACAGTATTATACGGTGGCGGCGAGAGTTATAACAGTGACCAGCCATATCTTTTTTCGTGGGTAGGAGGAGATGATGATGACGACATATCGCTAATGTACCGAGTGATGCAAGAGCTTCCAGACACTACTACTACGCCGTGTCTCTTATGAGAGCTTTAATCAAGTACAGGTGTCCCGGACCCTTCTTTGGGATATATATGTTCTTTTAAGAGAGAACCTTTTCTTTAATTGATCTTCTTTGACCTACTTACAAATCGTGCCGGGGGATTAGCTTAATTAATGATTAAACCCAATAGAATATAATTATTAAAGTGTGATAGCTAGCTGGAGACATCATCTAGAGTTATCTCCAGATACATTTAATAAAATATAACAATTGTGGCCTGAACTTATGAATAATACTAGGACCAATAAATGGTTATCCCGTTATCGGTGTAATCGATCGATAACCGATTAAATTGTAGACGATCGGTTTTCGGTAGATAAATTTAGCTAATAAATGACCGATGGTTAAACTGTTAATAATCGACGGTTAAACGGTTAACCGACTAATCGATTACGCTCATCATCATAGTTAGAGTAAAAAATAATAGACCTCCACGAGCTGCAAACATACACTGAAAATAATAGGGTGTTTGAAAGCTTACAAGACTCCTTGCCTCTAGTTGTAACAGTGACTTAGACTATATTTTCGGTCATAAGATATCATATATTGATCCAAAATAGATAGTTACGCCCTAGACACCAGCCAGGACCGAAAACCAAAGAAGCGACTCACAGTCGGATACAAGGAAATGGCTTTTCTAGCTACCGAATGAGCTACCCTATTGTTCTGCCGACATATAAATCGCACACTAACCCCAAGATGGGCGCAAAGATAAAGACCTATCTCTTCCAGGACAACACCCAACCGGTTATCCCTAGTATCAACTTGAATAATTTTATCAATAATCACTTTGGCATCGCCCTCAAACCAGACCGCCGACAAGCCACACTCCAAACACCAGATAATCGCCTCCCTAAGCACAAGCAATTCCACCACTGAAGGCTCCTCCACTTGAGGAAACTGAACCCCCTTCGCCAAAAGGAGCGTTCGCGCCGAGTCAAAAAGAACCATACCACCAGCCGAATGCGACCCACTCCTAGTGGCCCCATCACACATGCAAACCAACCGAGAGTCACCCTCATGAGTTACCGGCTGTACCCGCGGAGCAGACCCCTTAGGAGGTTGTTCATTTGGCAAGTCCGTCCATTCCTCATATTGTTGGTTAAATTGGCGTATAAGAGCAGGGATCCCAAACTGTTTGCCTTCAAAGACAACCCAGTTACGAGACCGCCAGATCCGCCAAAGGATGGAAACTATAGCCATGAACAACGACGGTTGATGGATCAGTGGCAGCAGACGTTTCAGAAATAACGGAAAGGTGTGCCAAGGCAAATGAGAATAATTTAAAGAAAAAGTTTTAGAAGGAGCTAACATAGTAGAAAGTCGGACTTGCACAAAGTTTCTCTACAACAATTAGAAACATTAAGCTTTCATGTAATTTGATGGGTTTACGAATTGAGCAATTTTTTGAGGGGTAAATATGAAAAGATTGAGTGTTGTTGGTTTGCACAACGCAGATGAACAATGCGTTACTAATGTAAACGGGGCCAAAAAGTGTCCGACCCTCTAAACGCTCAACTATCTAGGTTACTTTCGCTACACCTAATATAATAGTGAAATAGGTAAGGTGCTTCGCCCATTGTAAAATTCTTGCATCCATAACTAAAGTAGAAAATGTAGATTTGTTTTCACGATTATTTATTATTTTCTTATTTACAGGAAAAATACATAAGTGATGGAATTTGTATTGTGATCTCTTTGAGAGAAGATAAGAAACATAACTAGTTAAGCTAAACAAATTTGTTTAAACTTTTTAAATTAAAAAGATACATGAAGCTTAAATCTGAAAAATCGTAGGAATATTCCACCAAAGTTAGCTAAGCCACTATCTCTCCGCTTAATATTTTTTTTGGTATTTGGTACTTCTATTTTCATATTTTATTATTTTAATTCGAGTTTAAAAATTAATTCTATTTCTATTTATCTTAAAAAAGAATAATAATTTTTAAATCACAAAGCCTAATATAATTGGTACACAAATATTGCATATTGAATTGCAGTATTGAATATGTGCAAGTGATGCAGAATTCTTGGTATAATATAACTACCATAAAGCAACGATATTTTTTAAAATAGAAGTTTTGAGTGAATATGGGGCACATGTGTCTTAAAGAGATGGGTAAATATGGAAAGGTTGAGTGAAGTTGGTTTGTCGAATGCAGATTGAAAATGTGCAACTAATGTAAACGGGTCTAAATGGTGTCCCGGCCAGCTAAACGCTCAACCATCGTCGTCTCTCCAAACCTTCCCACCGGACTCGACAACCGCCTAACCTCCTCCACCTATATTGTTACGCAAAGCAATTTTCATATAGGTAAATATGGAAAGGTTGAGTGTTCTTGCTTGGAGAGCTGACTAGTGGATTATTTTGCTTCTTTTGACAATAATGGTGCACTCTTAACATCGGTTCATTTGGTTGATCTTCTAGGTTGACTTTTGAGTTGATTAAAGACAAACACTGTCTCGACCTACTAAACTCTCAACCATCGCCATCTCTCCCAACCTTCTCATCGGACTCGACAACCGCCTAAACTCCTCCGCATATATTGTTACTCAAAGTCATTTTTGGAGGGGTAAATACGAAAAGGGTTGAGTGTTCTTGCTTAGAGAGCTGACCGATGGGTTATTTAATTTCTTTGACAGTAATGTGTGATCACTTAATATAAGTTCATTTGGTTGATCTTCTAGGTTGACTTTTGAGTAGATTAAAGATAAATAACTATTCTTTTTGTTGCTTTTACTATGATACTCCTTTTTAGGATCATCATTTTTCTGATTTGAAATTTTTTTTGTAGATAGTTTCCAGTAAATAAAGACTACTCTTATTATTGTTAACATAGGGAATAACTTCAACATACCACTATTCAAACTATAATGTTGATCTTCAAAGAAAAAGAGGAAGATGGAAATTATGAATGCTCTCTCCTCTCTCTTGTGGTTCTGTCGGAGAAGAAATTGTGGAGATCCGGTGGCGGAAAAATGGGCAACTCCATGTCACGCGCCCGCAATAAAATAGGGTCTGACGGTTATCCTTTGTGATCGTATCCTAATCCCCTGATTTGGCGGTTGCTTATAACGCTATACTTTTTTGAGATATTCAAAACGACTCAAGAGTCCTAGCCCAACTATAGGCCTCTTAGTCATTGACCAACGTAAGAATACTAAGCTAATAAGGACGCTGGATAGGAAACCTTGTATGGAAGCCGCCTGTTCTCACTCGAGTCCTAATACTACCCTTCAACATCGAGTGTGGACTAGCAAGCTTCATACGGCAAAGGTTTTTCCCCCGATGTCTCCTTGGCTTAGGTAAACAATCAACGGGTCCGCATAGACCATGCTTCTTGCATCCTTCTCGTCACCGTTTTCGCATTCTGTCTCTCACTTCTTTCTTCAAAGCGACTTGGTGCAACTCGCCCTCAGCTTGGCAACACCATAACCGGTGTCCCCATCTTTATTCTCCTTCCGATCACGTAGGAGATATGGTGGATCCAAGGAATATTTTTTATAATTCTTTGCTTCATGACCTGGTTGACATCATGGGGCACGTGACTAAGGATCAAATCGTTTAGTTTTCACTCAACGGAGTTCAATCTGCAGCTTTTAGAGCTTCTAGGACGCTTCTGGGAAGGGTGTTCATGGAAAGCAGAATAACATAAATAGATCTCCGCGAAGCAGTTAAAGTACCATGGCAAGTCAAAAATCAGATCAGGGTGACAGAGACCACGCATGGTTGACTCGTCCCGAATACCTTAATAAAACTCTCAATTAAGGCCCAAGTATAAACCTTAACTGGGTGCATAGTATAGGGCAAGTATGTTTAAATATTGACCTGGGCCGGTTCATGTACCCCTACTTTGATTGTTTGTAATATTATCTTATGTTTGATTTTGGGTAAAAGCTAAAGCGTTTTTAAAGGTAAATGGATTTGACATTAATTGAGAAGGCTTCACCCGGGTGTTGCTACCCCGAGCTAACAATTACGACTTTTTGGATTGAATGGTCGTGTGTGGTGAGGTGGTTGTAAACTGTAGGGAAGTGCAACAAGTAGCCAAGAGCCACTCTCTTGGTCTCCAAGTCGAGGGAAGGGAATTTGATCCAAGCCACCAACGTGACTCTCTCGACCTATTGACTATGGATTGGTTAGACTTTACCCTCGAATCAGAGTTCGGACGTCCACCCATAACAAAACCCTAGGTGCTAATACAAAATAAAAGGTTTACCATGCATTAACCTAGATGGGAGACAATGAATTGACTAAGAAAACCAAGCATTCAAGCCTCTTTCAAAGAAAAGAAGGGGGTTTTCTCTCTACCTAGGTTAGAATGGTAGTTAGATTGATAGGCTTTCACACAACACAATCATTCATCAATAATACCTCCACATTCACATTAACACAACCACACACAAATCATTCAATCCATACAAGCATTCACATAATTATAGCTAGGGTTTATAAACACCCAAGTGAAAGAAGGGACTACTCCATGTCTAGAGAAGGGAAAACACTAGAGAGAAGAAAGAAAACCATTAATGAGATGCTAGCCTTTCTCCTTGTATTGAAGAGATCCTCCTTTGGTGAGGAATTCCCAAATCCTTGTTTGCAGATGAAACCCTAGCTTCTCCTCTTCTTTGGTTCATCACTTTCTCACTCTAGAAATTTGAAGAAGAAGAAGTTTATCACACTAGATCTCTCCCCTTTTCCCTTCAGCTCAACCTCCTTTATATATCCATATCGGGGTTAGATCACGGTCCCAGTTCACGGCCGTGAACTGAAATCCCGGACCGTGATCTCAGTCAAAACATGCCTCATCACTAATTCCAGTTCACGGAAAATGTCCTAAGTTCACGATCTTACGACTGTGAACTGACTTGAGTCCGGTGAAAGCGATTTGTGCTCTGGATGCCTGTCTGTTCATGGGTAGCGCCTCCAGTTCACCATCTTAGTGACGGTGAACACACTGCCCAAATCGTGATCTGCTGCTGCTTCCTCCCTTTGACTTGATTTTTTCCCATTCTTCCAACTTTCGACTCCGGGGTTGGTTCTACCTGCCAATGTCTGAAAAACACCAAACCAAGACAAAACCCCGCGTAAAACCAAGCCTCCCTGAGAAAAAATGCTTCAAACGACTAAGCAAATCAGGGAGTAAAATGTGTAAAAATGAGCCTGAATCAATGGCCTGTTCGAATTTACCCTTCCCAATGAAGAGTCGAAGAT